GAATCCCATGTAACATTCACCATAACTTTGTGCACTGACCTCTCTTCCTTGCATTAGACTAGACTAGCCCTTTGCAATTTTACATCTTGATTGGCTCCTCCTATAAAATGCAGCACAATGGGATTGTGATGAGTGCATTACGAAGCAAGTTTGCCTGCAATCATCCACTGAGCACAGAGATCATTCAAATATGTTTTATTTGGAATAAACCTGTGCATATATGAACTAGGACCCCGATACAGCTGAATGTCAGTTCATTCTTGTGCAGTTGTAAAATGAAAATTCAATTCAAAACAAGATTTTTGGAGGCAAAAGTGTTTCTCACTGGTGTAGGAATTCTACACAAAATGGTTTGAATCTAAATTAAATCTTCTTTACTTAATGCTGTATTAACTTAGAGTATGTACCCAGTAATTAGTCTGAGTTCTTCAGCTAGCATCATGTAATTTTAGTAAAGCTTGGAGCTCATCTGGGAAAGTATAGAGCTTAGCCACAGGCATACTTAGTATCAAAGACACAGAAATCTCTTTAATCAATAGCTCAGGACCCAAAAATTGCATCATCAAAATCATCTGTGAATTAGAAATTAAGCACCAAAAGATGATGCAACTTGCTTAATATTCAAAAAAGAGGGCATAGAAGAAATAGTCTTCCCTGAGGCTATCCTAGATCTACCACTACTTAGATTTTTGGGTAAGTAGTCAACCTATGTAATATTATCTTTATATTCCACAGAAATGTTCTCATGAAAGTATAATTTAATTCATATGCTTAGATTTTAGAGCAGTATAATAGAAGAAGCATGGGTTTAAGGAATATTTCTGAATCTTTTTCAAAAATCATAGATTGATATAGGATCTGCTTATGCCCCAGAGCTCACTGCAGTTACACAAGATAAAGACCCATAGCGCTCATTAAAATGTAGATACTTCAACTTGAAGCACTGTTATTTCTTTAATGCTATTTTATTTGGCTTATGAAAAACTCAAAGTTAAACAGAACCCTCAATTGCACTAATAAACTTATCATTTGTAAAACATATCACCCTTTTTGATAAACCTAGATTTTCTTTTAATGTTCTATCATTGTCATTGTTTTCTTATTGAAGTTGCTCCAAATAAAATTATTAAGTAAATCACTGTAGATAAATCATTTTACATGCATTCTAAGTAAAAAGTGAAATTAAATTATCAAGTTAAATCAGGCAAGTTTTGCTGAGATCCTACCAATATAAGCTACGTAATAAAAGAAGAAAATCCTGAAAATATTCAGATTTCCATGTTTTGCTGGCCTTTTTTTATTCCTTTGGAAAATTTCCCTAAAGTGTCACTTTTCTTTATATTTACTTCTCTGTTCTCATCAATTTCTGCTGATGAAATTTATCAAAACTAAATTAAATACTAGTTTTTTAATCAAGCCAGTTGTAAGAAGTAAATTCAATTCCCACAGTTTATATTGCTCTAATACTTCTTAGGCATAATTTTGTTAAAGGAGTGAAGGCTGCCAATTTTTTTTGTTTCATTTTAAGTTATATGAAATAATTTACAATTAAAGTATATCTAAATGATATAAAACATGTAGAATATTTTAAAGAAAATATAAAATTATTGTTTTTCCAATCAGTCAGTGTTTCACTTGTTCAGAGTAAGTAGTTTGTGAAGGGTAATATGTTACAAAAGACAGACTTAAGTAATAAGCTGTAGTTCCAAATCACTTAAGTATTAATACATTAACTGGTTTAGAAGTGAAAATTCTCACTGCTTGCATTACACTTAAGGATATGTGGAAATTAAGGATATTAGGGAATTGCCAGCAACTAAAACACACTCTCTTGTGATAGGATCATCATATCTGTTGGTTCATATGCCTTATCTTGGAATTAGTTGTCAAATTCATTTCAAGGATTTAAACCTATTCAAACTAGCTCAATCAAGGCAGACACAGTTAAATTTGAACCAAACCAAATTTGAAATATGTAGGTTCACTGGAACCCTAACTGAGGTGGGGCGGGGGTGGGTAGAAGGGAGACAAATGTGTCAACTGTCTGGAAAGGGAGGCTCAGCAAAAGTGTCCTTAGCTCATTCAGCAGTCTCGGCAGTCTGTTGTGGCTGACTGGATTACTGCCAGAGCTGTGTAGAGAAACACACATGCAAAGCTGTGTTGTTGGCTGCCAAGTTTGAGCCTGGCACCATTGTTTCTAACTGCCATTCCATCATTGTAGCTGCTATAAAACCTGCACATTTCTTAAGAGAGTGTTTAAAATTCTAGCAGCGATCCCCCCCCC